ACACAGAAATTAATCTTATTTTTATACGCTAGAAGGGAACAATCTGAAAATGAAATTAAGAAAACAATTCCATGTACAATAGCACCAAAAAGAATAAAATTCTTAGGAATAAATCTAACAAAAGAAGTGCAAAACTTATGTGCAACAAACTACAGAACATTATGGAAAGAAATTAAAGGAGATCTAAATAAATGGAAAGGCATCCCATTTTCATGGACTGGAAGACTTAGTATTATTAAGGTGGCAATATTCCCCAAATTGATCTACAGATTCAGTGCAACCCATGTTAAAGTTTCAACTGGCTCTTTTCTCAGAAATTGACAAGTTGATTCTAAAATTCACATGGAAATGCAAGAGGTTCAGAATAGCCAAAATCATCTTAAAAATGAAAAGCAAAGTTGGAGGGCTCACTCCATTTCAAAACTTACTATAAAGCTACAGTAATCAAAAACAGTGTGGTACCAGGAAGAAGGATAGACATATAGATCGATGGAATAGAATTGAGAGAACAAAATAAACCCTTCCATTCACAGCCAGTTAATTTTTGACAAGAGTGTCAAGAGAGTCCAATGGGGAAAGAATAGCCTTTCAAATGGGGCCGGGACAATAGGACGTCCACACAGAAAAGAATGGAGTCAGACACCTTTGTATACCATATGCATAAGTCAATGTCCAATAGATGACCTAAAGGTAATGGTTAAAGTGATACAACTCTTGGAAGAAAGAAGAGTAAACCTTCATGGTGTTGGGCTAGGCAAAGCCTTCTGAGATATGACACAAAAGCAGAAGCAACAAAAGATATATTGGACTTCATCAACATCAAAGGGCACCGTCGAGAAAGTAGAAATGCTGAATGGGACCAAATATTTGCAGTCAGATATCTGACGAGGTACTTGTATGGGGAATATATAAAGAACTCTTACAACTCAATAAAATGACAAAATAATCCAGTTGAAATGGGCAAAGGATCTGAATAAACATTTCTCTGAAGATGAAATGAAAATGGCCAATAAGCACGTGGAAAGATGCTCAACATCACTAGTTCTTAGGGACGTGCAAATCAAAACCACAAGGAGATACTACTTTCCACCTGCAAGGATGCCTATACTAATGGTAATAATAAAAATGACACAATAACAAGTGTTGACGAAGATGTGGAGAAATTGGAACATTGCTCGTACATTGCTAGTGGGACTGTAAAATGTTGCTCCTCCTTTGGAAAACAGTCTAGTGGTTCCCCAAAAGGTTAAACATAGAGTTACCAGGATTTCCACCCCTACGTATATACCTAAGAGAAACGAAAACTTGCCCACACAAAATCTTGTCCATCAATGTTCATCCATAGCCAAAAAGCGGACACAAACCCAAAGCCCGATAACCAATGAGGGGATAAATACGATGGGTTGTAGCCACACCATGGAATATTATTCAACCACAAAAAAGGAACAAAGTAGTGATACACGCTACAACGTGGATGAACTTTGAAGACATCACGCGTTGAAAACAGTGAAGGAAGCCAGATACAAAAGGCCACATATTGTATGATTCCATTTATGTGAAATGTCCAGAAGAGGCAAATCTGTAGAGAAGGAAAATACATCAGTGGTTGCCCCGTGCCGGGAGGATTGGGGGAAAGGGGGATTGCTTGGTAATAGGTAATGGCGTTTTTTTTGGGGGGGGTGATGAATATGTCCTAAAGTTGATTGTGGTGATGGTCACACAATCTTGCGAATATAGTAGGAATACACTAAAAACCTTTACTTTTTATTTATTAAAAATTTTTAAATGTTTATTTACTTTTGAGAGAGGGAGACAGAGGCATGAGCAGGGGAGGGGCAGAGAGAGAGGGAGACACAGAATCCGAAGCAGGCTTCAGGCTCCGAGCTCTCAGCATAGAGCCCGACATGGGGCTCGAACTCACGAGCCATGAGATCATGACCTGAGCTGAAGTCGGAGGTTTAACCGACTGAGCCACCCAGGCGCCCCTAAAAACCTTTAAACTGTTACTTTAAACTGGTGAACTGGGGTGCCTGGGTGGCTCAGTCGGTTAAGCAGCCAACTCTTGGTTTTGGCTCAGGTCACCATCTGGCGGCCCATGAGTTTGAGCCCCGCATCGGGCTCTGTGCTCACATTACAGAGCCTGCTTGGGATTCTCTCTCTCTCTCTCTCTCTCTCTCTCTCCCTACTCGCATGCCCTCACTCTCTCTCTCTCAAATAAAAAAATCAGAAGAGAAAGATAAACTTCTAGGTGACGAAAAATTTTAACATTTAATGTTAATGTATTTGTCTTTAACCGATGCAATTGCAAAAATACAATTTTTAATTTAATTTAATTTCTTTATGTAGGAAGGAGCCCAACAGGCCAAAATGCCTAGGACCCACAAGGTCTGAACGTGGCCCTGGGTGGCATCAGTGTGCATTTGACCACTAAAGGCTTCTCTCTCCAGATTTTGAGAAAACCATAGAACATTAAAGAAAGCATGAAACAATTCATTCAGATCTGTCCGTTCTGGCTTGCCACTGTTGTCTCTCTCTTTTTTTTTACCCTCACTTGCAGTTGTTGGCTGTCAACAAACATCTCTTTCCATGGGTTCTAATCTTGGTACCTCTGGCTCGCTATGTGGCCCCGGTTGTTCCCTCTGTGGCTCCGAGTCTTAGTGTCTTCATCTGTGAAGGGAAGCGGGGCCCCAGAGCCTGAGGGAGGAAACAAGCATGACAGAACCACAAGAGTGCCGTTCAGCCACCTGTGGCCTCATGAATCTTTGGAAGGGGTGACGTCAATAAGGCAGGAATCCACTCCTTAGCTTGGCACTCAAGACCCTTTGTGATCTGGCCCCCGCCTTCCTTCTCAGCCTCAAGTGCCAGCACACCCTTTATTTATATGGAGCTGGGAGGACGTTCAGGATCCCACAGGGGCTTCCAGGGACCTTCTTAGAGAAGAATTCACAAGCGTCAAGCAGACACATGAGTTGAGAACGCCGGAAGCTTCCAGATCTTTTTTGCCCCCCAACCCACGTTCGTTCCATTTGGACACAAAAATCTGTATCCTTAAAATCTGTATCCAGTAAAATCCTTAAACCAGGGGTTACAAGCAGACCCTAAAGGTCAGCCAATCCAGTGCCCCCAGGGGCCGGCTGGGTGGCCTCAGTGAGGCAGGGACGGGCAGGGACTGTGGCCGACTCCAAGGCTCGTCCGCTGTCTGAAGGGGGCAGCATCCGGCCCGTGTGATTGTGGCTGTGTGCCCTGGGGGCCCAGCACGGCCGGGGTTTCTGAGTGTTCATCTGGGCTCGCAAGGCAACATTTTCCCTATGCTGGGATCCTGTGTGGGCCGCACAAAATGCGTCTGTGGGTGGGGGTCCAGCCTGCGCCACCTTTGTGACCAAGGGGCTGGAGGCTGGGTCGTGTGTCCTCAGTGGTCAGCACAGTGCCCAGCATCGAGGAGGCCCCGGAAGAGACTGAAAATTTGCGGTTTCTTATAGGCATAAGGTTTGGGTGTAAGGCTTTCGCTCATTTGTTCATCCGTTGGTTTGTTCATCCATTCATATATTCCTTCAGCAAATATTTAGTTTATAATGTGCTCACTATGTACCAGACGCTGTGTTAGGTGATAGGGGCCCATCCGGAAGAGAGATGGGCGGACAGGGGAGGGAACCTCTGGAATATTGAATAGATTAGCTAGGAAAGGCCTCCCTGAGCAGGTAACATGTGGGGAAAGTGGTAAAAAAGAGGAAAAGTAAACCATTCAGCTCTCTGAGGGAAAAATGCTCCACGTAGAAGTGGCAGCATGTGCAAAGGCCCTGAGGCGGGGAGGGGGGGGTTCCCGGCACATTTCAAGATCAGCAAGGAGGCTGATGTGGCTGGAGTGGGGTGAGTGAGGGGGAAGCCTGTAGGAGACGAGGTCGGGGAGGTGATGGCAGGACAGATCGCACAGGGCCTGGTTGGCCGCACTGAGGACTTGGGTTCTGACCCTGAGTGAACTGGGAACCACGGGAGGCTTCTGAACAAAGGGACATGATCCGTCTGTGTGAATAAGGACAGAAACAGAGAGACCCAAGCAAGGGCTGTTGCCACAGCCCAAAGGCTGTGGGCAATGGTGGCTGGAGCAGCGGAGGGGGTGAGAAGCGGTCGGATTCTAGGTATACCTCCAAGCCAGAGCCACAGACCAGATGTGGAGATGTGAGAGCAAGAGAGAAGTCAAGGTTGACGCTGCAGTTCTGGCCCGGGCACGTGGGAGGCCAGAGTTGCCGTTTCCCGAGCGGGGGGCGGGGGTACACGAGGATGTGGGGCACGCCCTCGTGGCGCTGACAACTTGTGGGCCATCGTCCAAGAGTCACACGCAAGAGGTAGAACTGTCGGGTGACCGGATGTCCCACAGGGGAAGACCAAGGTGCCGTGAGAGCTTAGAACAGGGAAAGTATGTCCCCGGCAGGGGGGACGGCACGTGTGGAGGCCTCGTGGTGGAGGGAGCCTGAGGAGTGTCGGGGGCCGAGTTCAGGGGTCCCCGTGAAGGAACTTGGGCTTCATTCTTCAGGAAGTCATCAGAGGGTTTTGAGCGGGAGAGAGAGGGGGGGGGAGTGTGTGTGTGTGTGTGTGTGTGTGTGCGCGTGTGTGAGATGTGGTCAGAACTGTGTGGCTCCAAAGCATCCCTCTGGCGACAGCAGTGCGGAGGCCCAGGGAGCCCCGCGAGGGGCTGCCCTCATCCTGGTGGGTCTGGATGGGGTTGAGGCCACGGAGGGGGACTGAGGGCTCGGAGCAGGTGCCAGCGACTGGGCTGGATGGGTTGGATCAGGAGGTGAGAGCGGAGGCGGCCTCCCCGGGGCTGTTCAGCTGAGTTGGCAGCAAACATTCCTTGGGGACACTGACTTTCTGGGAATAAAGGTTAGAGACGCTCGGGTGCCACGCCCACTTGGCGACAGGGCTCAGGGAAGGGGAGAGGCGAAAGCCTGAAGCCCACGCTGCCTCTCACATTCTGAAAACCCTTCTTTTCTTTTCGAAGGTGAAACATGTCGCAGCTTCATTGACCTGGCCCCAGCATCGGAGAAGGGTAAGTGTGGCCCCCGCTCAGGTCTCAGGTGTGTGAGCCAAGTGCCCTGCAGAGACGCTTCCTGCCCAAGTGGCTTTCCAAAGCCCCATGAAAGCTTTTCCTGCCGCGCTCATGGGCGACGGCTCCCCAGAGGAGCCTGAATCCTGCAGCGCTGAGTTTCTTAAGCTGTTGGGAAGGGGACAGAGGCGGGGGGGGGGTATCATCCTGTCCCCACCCCCTGCCACCGCCGCACCACTCCCCTCCGCAAGCGGGGTGGCCCTGAGAGTCATTACACTTTCATCCTTCCAGGGCACAGCAGGACTTTGGGGAGGTAGGGACGGGTGTGCAGAAGTTGGGGTCAGGCTAGACCAGTGTTGGGGCACTGCCTTGAGCACAGAATTTGACCTCGGGGGCAGGAAGCCAGATGCCCTGTGTCTGTCATCTCAACAGGCGTGGGGAGGCCCCAGTCACTGTGCAGAGATGACTCTCTGGTGTGTGGGGCCCACGAACAGAGATTGTGCCCCCCGGTGATGCTCCGGTAGGATGGTCAGGGGCTGGCCATCCTGTGGGGTGAGCACAGCAGTCAGGATTAAGTTTAGCCACAGGAATGGTGATCCACAGTAGCTGGCTTTAAAGGACAAATGTGCCTTGCTTATATAAAAGTTTGGAAGTAGGCAATCCAGGGAGGCTCTGCCCCACGAAGCTCTCAGGATCCGGAACCTTGCTGCCTCTCTCCATCATCTCTGTGCCTTTGTCCTCATGGTCTCAGATGGCGGCTGGTGCTCCAGCGGTCACACCTGCCTTCTGGGCAGCCACTTAGAAGGGCGCAAAGGAGGAAGGGCAAAGCTTGCTGGTCAATTCCAAGGTTTCTAGAAGCTGCCCGCAGCACCTGCTCATGTGTCCTTGGCCAGAACATGATCCCAGGGCCAGACTCAGCTGCAAAGGAAGCTGGGAAATGAGATCGCTATCCCGGCAACTGTGTGCTCAGTGAAGTCAGGGGTTTGGTTATTATGGAAGAGCAGGAGAATGGATGCTGGAGGGTTCGCTGCCGGAGGGACGTAGGGGTGCGGCCGCCTCCCCGCCTGCCCACCCCTGCCCAAGGAGGACGGCTGCCAGGAGAGGGGAGGGGTGCACGTGTCTTCAAGACAGCCTAGAGATGAGGAGAGGGCTCTGGTTCTGGGAGTCAGCGTGGGGAAACTGAGGCAGAAGGCCAGTGCTAGGAACTGTCCCAACAAGGGGGATCTCGGTGTGCCTGTCCGGGGCTCGTGGCCACTCGTGCCTCTTGCCGGTGGGGCTGGTGGCCCTGCAGCGTCTGGAGGTTCGGGGACTGGAGGGTCCGTCTCTGACCCATCCCTGCTGATGGCAGAGAGGGAGTGGGTGAGGGGGACCTATGTCACGGGGGCTGCTAATGTTCCTGTCTCACAGACACTGTCCCCTTGAAGACCTTCAACCAAGTGGCAGCTCATGAGACAGGGACCCTCAGGCCCAGGAAGAGGCCCCGACGCCCCGGCGGAGCAGCCTTTTGGCAGGGGGCACTTCCTCCTCCGTTTCCTCCTTGGCTTTCCCAGCGACTGTGCCCTATGTGGCCGCTACTCGTGGCCACCCCTGAAGTTCTGAGCTGAGCAACCGGGCCCCAGCTTCCAAACCGAGGTCAGGAGGGGCACCTGGGTGGTTCAGCCGGTTAAGCCTCCAATTCTTGGTTTCGGCTCAGGTCATAATCTCCTAATTGCAGAGCCACGTCGGGCTCTGCGCTGACACCATGGACCCGGTCATGCTGTCTCTCTCTCTTTCTCCGTCTCTCTCTGCCCCCCCTCCCCGCTTATGCTCTCCCTCTCTTTCAAAGTAAGTAAACTTAACCAAGAAAAGTTGAAACTGAGGTCCAGAAGCGCCAGGAATACTACTGGGTAATACGGAGCGGACGTTCGACGAGCGGTTCCTCCGCACCAGGTGCTTCCCAGGCGTTAACCAAGAAGCCTCCCCCCAACCTTGGGGGGCGCTGACAGACTCGCCCCACTTGACGGGTGAGGAATCGGAGCCTTAGAGGCATGAAGCCGCCTACATCTCACATCTGGGGCAGAGGCCACGCTTCGGGCCCCCCTGTGCTGTGGCATCTTGCAAGCCTGGCCCCGGGGGCGGCCCTCGAGAACGCCGAGCCAGTGATCCGCCAGAGGCCTGGGAGCTCTGGGCTCAACTGTGCTCCGCGTCCGGCTTCCGGGAAGCGCGGCCCGTGTGCGCGCACGTAAACGTGCGTGTGCGTGTCGGGTTGAGGGCGAGTGTACACGTGTGCGATCAGGTGGTCCCGTGAGTATTGCACACATGTGTCTCCTGTGTGGACACACACGCGCGCCGGTGGCTGAGCGTGTGAGTGTGAAAGGGCATGCGCTTGTGTGTCCAAGTGTGTATGCACGCGTGGGCACGTGTGGAGTGCATATACGCTTGTGTCCATGTGAGCATGTGCATATGTGTGTCTAAGTGTGAGCATACACGGGTATGTGTGTGCACGTGAGTGTCCATGTGAGCATGTGCATATGTGTGTCTAAGCGTGAGCA